CTCCTTGATCAGTTTCCACCCATTGCTTCTTGTCTTACTCTCAGGTGCTTTGGAGAATAGCTTGACTCCTTCTTCTTTTTGGCAGCCCCTGAGGTATTGGAAGACTGCTATCATGTCTCCCCTAGTCCTTCTTTTCATTAAACTAGACATACTCATACTCAGTTCCTTCAACCGTTCTTCATATGTTTTAGCCCCCCGTCACCTAATCATCTTTGCTGCTCTTCTCTGCACTCTTTTTAGAGTCTCAATATTGTTTTCATAGGATGGCTAAGACAAAATTCTGGTTTGACTAAATACAACTATGGCCAGTTGACATCCATAATCGTGGAATTTTTCACTTCATGTAAACCATATTACTTTTGCAGATTACTTTTAAAATGCAAGAAAACTTTTTGAGTTCTTCAGTTCTTTATTTCTCTCTGTCTCCCTCCCACCTTCTCTCTCTCTCTCCTTCTCTCTCTCTATCTCTCTCTTTTGCAAAATATTTACAAATACAATCTCTTGGAAATCAGCAATCTTCCCCTCCCAATCTTCCCTTCCACCTTTAGAGAGGTGGAAGCCTAATTCCCACCAAGGTGTCTCATATTTCATGATATGAATGGCATGACAATTAAGTACCAGCATACCTGGCTTGAAAAACATATTCAGAAGCTCATGGTTGTGCATCACCTTGGAGAGAGGTATCTTCTTCTCTTGAAATTTGCATTAATGTCTTGGAGGAAGAGGTGGAAGGAATGCTTATCAAATTTGCAGATGACATGGAATCATCTGGGATAGCTAATGCTGTGCTGAATAGAAATAATATTCAAAATAATTTTGATAGGTTGGAAAGTGGGCTGAAATGAAATGAAATGGAAAAAACAGAGAAAAGTGTACAGTCATACACCGAAGTAATTAACTTCAAATGAACAGGTATAGGATGAGGGGTGTCTGATTTAGCAATAGCAGCTTAGGGTTAGATGAGTTCTTTGTCCTTGTGCTGTGATTTGGCTCATGGATACCTGAATGATTACTGGATAGAAACAAAAACTATATTGTTTTCTGTTTCTCCACGCTGTCCATCAAGTGGATCCATATATTTTTCCACAACAGATCAAATCTGACAGGTTATCAGATTAAAATTGCTGTGTATGACCTCCTTTGCCTCCTCTTCTTAATTCTGGAATCTAAATAACTTTCTGGATCACTGAACACCATCCTTTGAGGTGAGATACCTTTAAAACTTTTGGAAAGTTCTTTTTAAAACTTTTACACCTCTCAAAAATTCTTGCCCCAGTAATATGTTCCTTTCCTCTTTCTCCTCACTCCCAGTTTGTGTCACAATGAAAGACCGAACCAGATGACATTCTTGCATTACCTCCACCCACAAATTGAAAGAGATAATTGTTTGGAATGTTAAATGTCTAAGTCAGTATCCCTCAACCTTGGCAACTTTAAGATATGTAGACTTCTTTTCCAAGAATTCTGGGATTTAAAGTCCACACATTTTAAAGGTGTCAAAGTTAAGAAACTCTGGTCTAAGTTTTATTTGTCCACCAGAATGAATTGAATTGAATTGAGAGTTGGAAGGGACCTTGGAGGTCTTCTAGTCCAACCCCCTGCTTAGGCAGGAAACCCTACACCAGACAAATGATTATCCAACATCATCTTTAAAACTTCCAGTGTTGGAGCATTCATAACTTCTGGAGGCCAGTTGCTCCATTGATTAATTGTTCTGTCAGGAAATTTCTCATCCATTCTAAGTTGCTTCTCTCCTTGATTTGTTTCCACCCATTGCTTCTTGTCCTACCCTCAGGTCCTTTGGAGAATAGTTTGACTCCCTCTTCTTTGTGGCAGTCCCTGAGATATTGGAACACTGCTATCATGTCTCCCCTAGTCCTTCTTTTCATTAAACTAAACATACTCAGTTCTTGCAACCGGTCTTCATATGTTTTAGTCTCCAATCCCCTAATCATCTTAGTTGCTCTTCTTTGCACTCTTTCTAGAGTCTCCACATTTTTTCTACATCGTGGTGACCAAACCTGAATGCAGTATTCCAAGTGTGGCCTTACCAAGGCATTATAAAGTGGTATTAACACTTCACATGATCTTGATTCTATCCCTCTGTTTATGCAGCCTAGAACTGTGTTGGCTTTTTTGGCAGCTGCTGCATACCATATTTAAATGGTTGTCCACTAAGACTCCAAGATCCCTCTCACAGCTACTACTACTGAGCAAGGTACCACCTATACTGTACCTGTGCATTTTGTTTTTCTTGGCTAAATATAGAACTTTACTTTTTTCACCATTGAATTTCATTTTATTAGATAGTGCCCAATGTTCAAGTTTGTCAAGATACTTCTGTATCTTGAGCCTATCTTGTGGAGTGTTGGCTATTCCTGCCAGTTTGGCGTCATCTGCAAATTTGAAGAGTTCCAATGGCAAGGCTTAGGTAGAATTTCTATTTGTCACACTAGATTGCCCTTTTATGTAATATAAGACCTTTTTTGTTTCTTGAAGATTCAGAGCAAGAAATAAATGGGTATTAAACACTGGGTTAATATCCTAAAGTTCTGTGTTCACAAAGATTTCCTCAGATAAATTAACAGTAATGAGAACCGGTGACATATTTTCAAGACTGGGATTTGCCCAATAACTTTGAATTGCTGAGATCTCCCAAAATATGGACTTGGTTTCACCCCATTGTGGGTGATGAATATTTCCTTTTTATCAAATCTTTCAGCAATCTCTTCTAAAATTAGGGTCATTTGATACAGGCAGGAAATATTATTTAGCCTGCGTGCTAGATTTAACAGGAAATTATCTTGAAATAAAGTACCATTCATCGACCTTTATCTTTATCATCTATCCATGTTTTTAATTTTGCTCATTGTTTGTGCACATGTAAAATCATACTTGTGTCCGAGTTGGTGAATTCAGAATATTATTAAAAATTGTTATGAGTGTGAAGTACTTTGGATCTGATCCCCAAAAGGTCCTTCAAAGTGCAGCATTTGGGAAGCAAGAGCAGCATCTCTCTAAAATTCTGAGCTCTGTATGGCTTAGGCTGTTGGTATCACCTTGAATATTCTGATTGTTCAAGGGGATGAGACCAACTTTTTAAGAAGTTTCTGAGGTCTTCACTAATGTGCTTGGTCAAAGTCTTTCTTCCCATTTAATTGTCATGCAAGATGGCTGGTCAAACATCTATTTTATCTTCTAACTTTATAGGACCCTTCGGAGTCTTTCCTATTCTTGAACCCAATCTTTTGGCTAAATGAAGGAGTATCATGTTTTGGGATAAATTAAAGATTATCATGTTTCTTTCCACCCAAATTTTCTTTCCTGAATTTTCAGCAGCAGTCCATACCATAATGCATCTCACCATCACAGCCTATCAGATTGGCTTTGTTCTCCCAGTTGTCTCTTCCCCTCTTCGTCTTGTATATGTCTACTTACTGAGGGGCTTGCAAGCAGAGCTTTTCCTTGTTGTTTAATGTTTGTACAACACCTAATCATTGTAGACACACTGGTAATAGTTGTAGTGTCAACAGCAATAATATTGGCACTGGTACATAAATAGCACCTCTGTTGAGTCGGTGTTCTGAATAACTGAACCTCGAGTAAGTTGTCTTATAATTGTTTTAAGTAAGCTGCATTGTGTAAAAAAATATCATAGCACCCTTCTCTGTCTTTCCTTAATCCTGCAACTGGTTTAACTTAACAGACCCATTGAATACCGTGCCATACCAAAAACAGAAAACAAAAAAAAAGGGGTTTCCATTTAACTAGTTCCATCAATTATGCCAACAGCACCATTACCCTGAAACCTTCATTCCTACAATGATGGCCTTAGTGGTGTGGTTAATAAAATTTTGATAGATGTATTATCCGAAGCCATGATATTGGCAGAAGCATCTCTCCCTTGGAGCTGGAATCTATGGCTAATGATAGAACAGAGAAGATTAATTTACTCTAGGTCTGGTTTCTGGAAAGCCAGGGGATGGATGGGACGGCCATGATGATACTATTAGTACCGCTACTACCACCACCACTACAAATCGTGCAGTAGGAGTTTTTGCAATGCTTCACTAGCCGCCTTGTCAGAAGCTTAGCTGGCGTTATAAAAGTAGAGGAAAAACAGGGAGAAAAGTGGCTTTCCCAAGAATCTTATCCCCTAAAAGGGAAGTTGGATGCCAAATTGAAATTCCTGCAGGATTTCTGATAGCAGTGAGGGAATTGTGAAGCCCACAATTAAGCATATGGGCATTAAGATAATTGTCAGATCTGTTGGCGGACATGATAGAAGACAGATGGGTACGAATCAGCCTCTCTACTGCAGCACCCTGGGAGACACGATTTGATGTTTTACCTGCCTGAGCTCCTTTGCTGTGTTTGTCACTAAATGTGCTGCACAGCGCCTTACTGACTGTTAAGTGTTGTTGTTTTTTGTATATACATACAATATATACCTATCACAGTGCCTCGGCGCCCTCTAGTGAAAAGCTACAAGGAAAACTTTCCATGATGTTTAAACGCCTATGTTTATTTCCAGCATCTCCCCAAGCTATAGGAGACCCCATGGCTTCTGGGTTTATTTAGTTTTTATTATATTTATTTAATTATTTAGTTAGTTTATCAAACATGTACAAGTTAACAAGTATAAGTATAAACATGGACATGAACACAGGAAATGGGTACAGATAAATGGGGGCAATAGAACAGGGATGGTAGGCACGCTGGTACACTTACGCACGCCCCCTATAGACCTTTTAGGAAAGGAGTAAGGTCCACGCTAGACAGTTTAAGGTTAAAGTTATGGGGGTTAGAGGATGTAACAACAGAATTAGGTAGAGCATTCCAGGCGTTGACCTTTCTGTTGCTGAAGTCATATTTTCTGCAATCAAATTAGGAGCGGTTCACCTTGAGTTTCTATCTATTGTTTGCCCGTGTATTATTGCGGTTGAAGCTGAGGTAGTCATTGACAGGTAGGACATTGTAGCACACAATTTTGTGTACTGCACTTAGGTCAGATCTTAATCGGTGTTGTTCTAGGTTGTCCAAGCCCAAAATGTCAAGCCTGGTGGCATAAGGGATTCTGTTGTGAGCAGAGGAGTGGAGGACTCTTCTCGTGAAATATCTCTGGACCCGCTCAGTTGTATTAATGTCCGATGTACAGTGTGGATTCCAGGCAGATGAGCTGTATTTGAGGATTGGTCCGGCAAAGGTTTTGTATGCTCTAGTTTGCAGTACAATGTTACTGGAGAAGAAGCTTCACAAAATTAGGTTAACAACTCTTAATGCCTTTTTGGCAATGGTGTCACAGTGAGCTCTGGGGCTTGGATCGTTTGAAATGATTACTCCTAGGTCCTAGGTTGTTTCGCTTAAAACAGTCCTGTCTAAATCTTTTCTTCCTTCTCCTCTGGCAGGTTGGGGCTCATCGTGAAGATGCCGTTGGCCTCCGTGGCAGCCATTCACTTGTGCCAAACCAAGTTCCTGTCCCACAGCTGCCAGTGCAGTCTGCAACATCTCCTGACTTAAACCAGCCTCCGGATCCTTACCGAGGTATGTGCAACGGCATTGCCTGGCCCTGTGCCTTGATCTATATAATCTATAATCTGTGACAGCAGGCTTCAAATGTCAGGAGGGTAACCACATAGAAGAAGGAGTGGACTTACTCTTTATTAAAACCACACCCCTACTGAAAGACTCTCTGTGTAGATGGAGAAGTAAATGTATGACAGCTTGCCAAATTAGTTAATAATGTGGCTTGTTGATTTAAATTATTAAAGGTTTCATGTTAAAACCTAATTGTGCATATTACGGTATGCACAATCACAATTATTTCACTCTACAGTTAAATAATTCTTTCTGAAACACAATGAAATCTTCAAAAAAATGCTTAATATTGAAATTGGGATCAACACAAAGCAGAATATTGATTGATTTTTTTCATTGAATGACTGATTGGATAAAATGTAATCATCATGCCACCATGAAAACATCTGGGAAAGTGGCAAATGGTGATTGCCTGACTGTAGTTGTCATAAGTGCAAGCTGCCAAGCACCCAGATTGCAATCACATGACGGCAGGCATTCAGCCACGATCATAAGTGGGAGGACTGATTGTAAGTCACGTTTTTCAGCACTGTTCTAAGTTCGAATGGTTATACGTCAAGGCTACTGTAGGACTTTCAAAGGGAACAATGGCTTAGTAGTTGAAGCAGTCCAGCAGGATTGAAGTTTTGTGGTGAGATGTTGGTGGGAACTATTTGTTTTCCCATTGTTGGGGTTGCCTTTCTACATCCTGAGTCAAAATGGTGGAAAACAATATCACTGAATATTGACGTTGTAAATTGCTCAGAGAGTGCTGGAAAGCACCATGGAGCGATATATAAATTTACGTCGTGTTGCTATTTACTAACTGTTTTCATTAGATGGGTTTTCTTTTTCTTTTTTCTTTTTGCAATACAAATAGGTTGTTAATGTAGCGCCCACACAATTCTTAAACATTGTTACTATTGGTGACATGTAAGGGACGCGGTGGCTCAGTGTCTAAAACGCTGAGCTTGTCAATCAGAAAGGTCGGCAGTTCTGCAGTTCAAATCCCTAGCGCCGCATAACGGAGTTAGCTACCGTTACTTGTCCCAGCTTCTGCCAACCTAGCAGTTCGAAAGCACGTAAAAATGCAAGTAGAAAAATAGGAACTATGTTTGGTGGGAAGGTAACAGCGTTCTGTGCGCCTTCGGCATTTAGTCATGCCAGCCACATGACCACAGAGAGGTCTTCGGACAGCACTGGCTCTAAGGCTTCGAAACAGAGATGAGCACCGCCCCCTAGAGTTGGGACCGACTAGCACATATGTGCGAGGGGAACCTTTACCTTTATTGGTGATATGCGTGTTCATATACGTTTTGTACGAATGCCTGCATGCAGACGTATTCTTCTTTTCCCTTCTGCACAGGGATGCCAACTGGACTTCAAGGGCAAAGCATATCTTCAGGGAGTTCTGAAATCAAATCTGATGACGAAGGAGAGGAGAACCTCCAGGACTCGAAATCTTCCGACGACAAGAAGTTAGACGATGACAAGAAGGATATCAAATCAATTACTAGGTCAAGATCTAGGTAACCGTATATAATAGTGTCGCTTCATTTAATTCCTTTATTGGATTTTGATGAAGTGAACAGAACAGGAAGAAACTCTGTCGAGTTTTTTTTTCCTGCTGGTCAAAAATAAGACAAGAAACTCATAGCCCTTTCTTAGAAGTACTAAAGAGTATCTGTTTGGAAGCTTGTACTCTAGAAGGGCTGAATTTGGGGAAAGGACGAACGCTTAGGCAGAACTGTATGGACCGAGCTATATATAGACTTAAATTAGAGCCAGTTTCAGTGGTCTGATGTACCTATGAAAACACACACAAAATTTTAAGCAGATACCATTTTTATAATAGTTATTTTATAATAGTTATGTGGAATACACATGTTCCTGGGTAGTTGTTTTTTTAGAACATAACTGTAATCATAACTGTAAGCTGGATAAATCAGGGTAGCTTGTCCAATTTAAGCAGAAGTAATTCGTTAAGATATGATCGAAGGCACATTGCCAAGGTTTGGAAAGAAACTGGAATAAATTCATCAAGTCTTGTTCCCAATAATAACTTGGAACCCTTTTGTAGACCATTATTTCTTGCTTACAGGAGTCAGTATGCAAGATTCCTCTTTCATTACCACTGACCCTTGGTCTGTCCCTTATGTTTTTCATAAACTATATTGGATTTCATCAGCAAGGACGCTTCTGAATCATCTTCTATTACATTCAGATTTTTGTCTGAACAATAGAACTGTTGTTGAGTATTAAATAAACGAAGTTCTCCTTGTGAGCGGGTTTTATGAAATGGCGTGGAATACAGAAAAGTCTCAGAAATAAATAAAAATGTATAAAATTTAATTTAATAGGAGCCACTTTGCACTTAGGATAACATTTTGCTTCTTCAGCATGCAACAATCTCTTGCATTCGGTGGCTGAAGGAATCAGTAATTCAGGCAAGAACTATGAAATAGCCTTGAGAGATTCCCTGATGCTTGAATGCATAAAAATTGTATTCTGATTTCTACGTGTGTAAAATACTACATGATATAAATCCCCATAACACAGCAGACCTAATGCCAAAGAAGTGCAGCTAAGTGGGCTTTGAGGAATATCTGCAAAGAACTTCAAACTGACTCATAAAGTGGCAATGAAAGAAATATATATATTTAACAGTGTAGCTAAAACCATTTTAATTCAGATTGGTTAATGCTGTTGTCCGATATTAAGTGCTCATATTTATTATATGTTTTTGATTGATTATTACTATTAACCCTTTCAAGTGTGCTCTGAGCATAAAGGAAAAATACAAATTGGAAATAAAATCCACCAATCATAATTTTCATCTAGCTAAATCTTAGAATTTCTTTGGGTCATACTGGCTCTTCACTCAACTGGCTAATGTAATTACTATAGTTCATTACATATATATGTAATCAAATAAATAAATAGAAAATCTGCATCCAGTTTTCCAGGGAAAAGGCAACACTATAGGGACAAAGGCCAATTTGCCAATGATACTTGCAAGTATCGTTACATCTAACTTAACCCTTTTGCTTTGGATTTTAGCAGGCTCTGTAGAAAGTTTTATATCATACAGACATTTTTGAGAAACCTGAGTTAGCTGCAGGCTAAATTACCTTTTAGCATAATATAAAAACTCTGCAGAGGATATAGATATAGATACAGAGATAGATACAGAGATAGATACAGAGATAGATATAGATAGATTAGATAGATAGATAGATAGATAGATAGATAGATAGATAGATAGATAGATAGATAGATGATAGATAGTTGTATTTGTGCTGATAAATAAATAAATAAATATTTATTTATCAGCACAAATACAACAAAATGTAACAAAAAGGCAACAGTAAAAATATTGGGTTTCTGCCTGGATGGTCTCTTGTGACGAGCCGAATATATATATAATCCATATGTATGTATTACAATAGCAACCTTAGCTTTAGTTTTAAGGTATTTTACCTATTAGAGCTGTTCAATGCCTTGGATTTAATTCCAGAAAGGTATTTCAGAATGCATAGAGGCACACTCATAGCATCTGATTGCACCCTCTTAAGCAGATGCGTCTTTCCAACTATCCTGGAATAATACATTGCTGCTTTAAAAGGTTGCAAAAAAGCCTTATGCTCACAAGCATTCTGAAGCATGTTTTTGGAATCAGATTTTAAGACCTGCTCAAAACAATTATTTTCTCAAAATTGTATTAGTTTATCAAAACCCAGAAGAAAAATGAAATACAAAGAAAAATGAAAACAATGTGAAAATAGGGGAGGATGAGAAGAAGACAAAAACCTGTAGGGTAGATGGGGGTGAAACGCATTGTCTTTTGACTCTTTGGTGCAGTAGAGTAAGGTAATAAAATACAACCTCAACTTTTCCCTTTTACATAATACATACTAGCCATTTCTATAACAACCACACTATCTAATCATCAAAACCCCAAATCAAAATTTTATTTTTTTTCTACCTCAAATCCAGAAACATTTTCCGAATAGAAACAAAATTAATCACATTCTTTTACTTTAATCAAAACAGTCAATTTAGCCATCTCTGCTAACTCCAACTTTTGTAGTCATTCATTCATTCTAGGAATCAAAGAATCCTTCCATTTTTGTGCATAGAATGTTCTTGCTGCTGTCAGCATATATAACATCAAAGTTCCAATTTCTTTTTCAAATGGAGTGGAATGGAATAGAATAGGAATTCTTTATTGGCCAAATGTGATTGGACACACAAGGAATTTGCCTTCGGTGCATAAGCTCTCATTGTACATAAAAGCTTAAGTGATAAATCATGATCATAGTCATCATAAAAACAAATCCATCATAAATCATAAGATACAACACTTAGTGATAGAATCTACATAAATCGTACTATTAAACTAAATAAAACAATATAAATCGTAAAGTTATAGTCATAAGTAGAAAAGGAGATAGGTAATAGGAAAGATGAGAAGAAGAATATTATTACAGTCTTACTAAAGACTTACTTTATCCATTAAGCCAAAGGAAAAGTCTCTGATTTTATCTAGAACGATTGTAAAACGATTTCTTGAATATGTCAAAAGTCATGCTACAGTTGGGGCTCTTTCATTGATGTATGTACTGTTTATTACATTCAATATGACAGATAGCAATGAAACCATGTATTGGCCCGTATGGCTTTTTAAAAAAGTGAAGCATTTTGTTCATTCAGATTTATTTGGCCTTCTACCACACTATTCAATGTAGCTAAAGCTTTACGTCCCTGTATTCCTTTTAAGTAAGGCTCGTACTTTGAAATGACATGTTGATAAAAACCCCTGGAGTTTCAACCCCATTAGAAAATCCTGTGCTATGTTTCCCTCTCAGCAATAATGACGACGAAGATCTTACTCCGGAACAAAAAGCAGAGCGTGAGAAGGAAAGAAGAATGGCCAACAATGCCCGTGAGCGCCTGCGCGTCCGTGACATCAATGAGGCTTTCAAAGAGCTGGGCCGGATGGTGCAGCTCCATCTAAAAAGCGACAAGCCCCAGACCAAACTTTTAATCTTACATCAAGCTGTAGCAGTTATCCTCAGTTTAGAGCAGCAAGTCAGAGGTGAGTTAAGGCTAACTTTATCCAATTGATCTGCAAATCTCAATTAGATGTTTTGAAACCTTAGATCTTAAAAGGATTACTATGCTTTGCTAATGATGCGGTGATGGATTACATGAGTCCAGGTCATAAGGATGTTTTGTTAAAACCTTGGTCTGAGCTCATACAGGCCAGGACAACACTACTGTCAGAGTTCATTGCAGAAAAATCAAATCCAGAAAGCACACAGAGGATAACTGATTCAGCTGTATTCATTAACTTCTTCATATACATAAGAATAGATGAATAAATGTACAGTACCAACTGGTGGTTCTTCCAAGTAAACACAAGACAGGAGAGTTACAAGCAAACACAAGTAGTTAGTTTCATTTCAGCAGACAAGCCCAGACAGACTGCTAGTTTACTTCTCAAAGTATCAGACTGCTTAAGTTTCTGTTTCAATTCTTTGCACAGACTCAGATCTGTTGGCTCCTAGCCAGATCCCAACAGACCTTGGCTCCTAGCCAGATCCCAGATCTGGCTAGGAGCCAAGGTCGCGCAGTGGTTAAATGCAGCACTGCAGGCTACTGCTAGATCAGCAGTTCAGCGGTTCAAATCTCACCGGCTCAGGGTTGACTCAGCCTTCATCCTTTCCGGGGGGGGAAAATCAGGGCCCCGATTTGTGGGG